TCTTTTGCAAGCAAAATTAGCTCGCTTCACTAGCTTGTTATGACTTGAAGTGTCTGGCCGTTGAACTATGCTTCTGGCTCATTTGTTGCTCTCAAAGGGATCCCACCCTGACTGACAGCTGTACTGGACTGGAAAAAAAGTAGCTCACATGAGTGAGAATAAGGGGACTTCAGTTTGTGGGTCTTTAGGACAGTAGCAATCCATGCAAACAACCTCCATAGGAAAAAGAGATGAACCCAACAAGGAATGTGCGTGATGTAGGTCCCGGCTTTGGGTCACTAAATTTCCTTAACTAACCAGTTACTACTGCAGAACTTTGTGTTCACAGATGCTGTAATTGATTCACGTGATATGTAACTACCTAAAAGACACAAATATCCATTAACTGGTTCCAGCAACCCTAAATAATCACTAGAAACTTGACTTCAGTACATTCCAGATACTGTGATACTCTAAAGTGATTAAAACAGCACCAGAATAGCCTAAGCTCTGTGGATGTGTATTTATTTTTATTCACTGGTGTTTTGGGGTAAATGCCACATCAGAGTGTTTTTATTACAAAGTTCCTGTTCCTGCTCAGTGCAGCTGTACCTGTTCTAAATACCTTCATCAAAGGCAACCTTTTCCTTTTTTTCTTAATCTCAGATCAGTTTACCAAGGGCAGTTGTCCATGGCTTCCTTAAGCTTGCCTGCAGAAAAGCTTTCTTAAAATTCTTTCCTTCTCACATGCTTAGAAATGTGTGTGCATGTGTATAAACATGGATGCATGCATATGCCCATGCATATTTTAATCTGTTCCTGCTTCAGTCCTACAGCCTTGTGCATGGTAAGACTGAGAAAGGACTCAAGGATAAGGTTGCTGCCAAAGAGCAGCAAAACTCTTTCTTCCTTGTGTACTTCCAAATGATTTGAACACCTTCTTTATTTATGGAATGTTTCAAATTTCTGGGCTCTCTGATAACATTATGTAGACAAATGTGCACGGAGGTCAAGAGTGATTCTTTTTTTTTTTACTGTGGTGTTATTTTTGCAGGTAATTTGACACTCAGTGTTAATACAGGTCATCCAGAGTGACAGGTTGGTGATGTTGCCTTTTGTGCAATTAAGCCCTTGAATGTTGATCCTGGATTGAGAGTTTATAGAAACCTCATGGAGATATTGGTTTATACTGTTAAGTAAATTCTGGGTCCCAACCTTTTACTCATTATGAAACAGTATTTGAATTAAAAGGAGACCTTGGACTAATGAATGAGTTTGGCTTCTTTAGCATGCCTGTGACATTGCTTTCTTTGCATCAGAGACTCCTGTGAAGTGCTGGCTCCCTGTTTTAGTGATACTGGAAATCTCTTGAGAAGGCCCGTAAGTCCAACTTATCATGGCAAAAAAAGAGCCGAACTTATATAGAAATTGAGACTTCAAATTGGACTTTTTAATCTCTATTATTTTTATTCCTTGTGAAATTCTTTTTGATTAGCCATAGTTGGGTACAGCTTGGATGCCCAGCCTTGTGATAGGCTGAGGGATGATGAGAAACAGTAATATTAATGATTTTTGCTTACCAAGGATCTCAGGAAAATACGCAAGAGGAAACTCCCAGTATTTTCACACCAAAAGGGATTTTTCTCAAATATTAAAAAAAAGAAAAAAAAGTAAAGGCTATTTGATCCAGACATAAAGATATACTCAAGAATCTTGTAGAGCATAGTCTAACATGTTGCTTAATGATGACTTTTCACATTGAAAATATACTGAGAAACTATAAAAAAGAGATCTTGTAACAACAGGGGTGACAGATAGGAGAACTGGAGCTAACATTGGACTCAGAACCAGAACAAACCTACCCAGTCAGGGATGCATTTCAGGTGGTAAGTTGCTTGCCATGGCACATGAGATATTGGTGCTGAAGTGTTCCCCTCTGCTTAGATGCCATCACAATTAGATTATGGCACAAATGTGTTAATGCTGCAAGCCATGCTCAGGTAGTCACTCCTCTGAATCTTACGTATAGAAGAAGTATTAGTACCATGTATTTCCAGCAAAGATTTATGGCAAATTTCTAAAGATACCTTGACTGAAAAGTCAGAATAGTCTGTTTCTTGCTGAATCAGTTTCACTGTAAGGAAACAAACAAGTGCTGAAATAATGTAGGATGTGACATCTTCCTGCCATTAGCAGTATTCTTTCTGTCAGTTTGGGTTCTCCAGTAGAGTAAATCTCAAGTTCATTGAGGGGAGTGGTAGGCTGGGATGCTTTTCATCCTTTACACATTATAGTCACTGTGGCCAGACTTGCTACCTGTCCTTCTCCTTTGTCTGCTGAGGAAATTCAGCTTATATGAATATTCTTGATTGTGCTCTGCTGTTATCACTCTAGCTCCATGGTTTCAGTTCTTGGTATCCCTGTTATCAAAAGTAAAAGTGTTGCTGAAACTTTGTTTTTGCTTCTTCAACCTCCCTAATTTCTTCTACTATAATGCAACATTTGTACTTTTTGTTTATGCATTTCTGTCTTTTAAGTCTGTGAAGCTGGTTTTGTGCAAAAACTGTGCCAAGGCAACAGTTAGCAGTGATGCAGTTGCCCCAGTGCTAAGCTGATAACACAAAGAGCTGCAGCATTTCTACTTTTGTGCTTTGAACTCGCTCTCTTGGAGCTGGTTTCCTGATTTGTCTCATTAGCACTGATTTGCTTTATTCCCTGAGTGCAATTCCTCATTTGGTAAGAGTTAGGGCAACTACATCTCCATTTTCCCCTAGCTTAAGCAAAGCAGCAGTAATGGCCACCTCTCCCTGTTTTTCCCTTGGCAAAATTCCCAGAAAGATGTGTGCTTAATTGTAATTTGCTCTCTGTGGTCAGCAGTAATATCTCATCTTTTAGTATCTCAACAAAACCACTATGTTTAACTCTGTGTGCTCTGAGGCCTCACCTGATCTCATACAGAGTAACCCTGTATTTCAATTAGGATGAATATATGCAGCAGAGGTGTTCACATTTATTGTATATACAATTAATTTCTCTGTCATTTGCTGATTCATCTGCTTTTCATGACTTCAAAACAAACAAACAAACAAAAAATAACTCACCATCTTTTGGAAAAATAATATTTTCTGGGGAAGGCTTAATCTGTGCATCTAGTGTATCTTACTAAATCTGGTTTTGAATTTTAGGTAGACAAGCAACTTTCTTGAAGTCAAAACTCTTCAAGAGAAACCACCAGGAGTGGCACAAAAGTGGGAATGTGAGGCCTGCAATATGTTATATGAGTCTTTTAGTCCAACCTACCCTATTTCCACCCTGGTGCTAAATATACTGCTGACATACTTGCAAGAAAAGAAATACTGAGCTTGTTGGCAGAGCAACAGGCACCTTTAGATTTAGGCTTAGTTTCATTTCTGTAAATTTCCTTGATAGTACATGAAAAAGAAATGTCAGGTTATTGTATTTGTGACTTTGGTGGTGAAGTTTGGCAAATATCAGATCATCTTAATAAAATGTTGAATTTTAAATCTAACACTTCAATTAAAAAATATCTTTCCTATAAATAAAACTGAAAAATTTAATTCCAGGTACATGTCTTGCTCTTCAGGAACTCCTGTCCTGCTTAAGAAAAATAAAACTTCCATCTGAAGTGCATTAATAACTGTTGTGAAATAAGAAGGTATTTCCAAAATGTCTAACTTGCCTGAAGCATTTGCATCAGCTAAGTCAGCAATACTTTGCCAGCCACTGTTGTATTGTATTTTATTCAGGAGACAGATAACCAATCCTCTGTGTCCTGGAATGAGCCTTTCCCTACTGTTGGTCACATGTAGTTTGTTTTTTCATCTCTCTAACCTCATGGAATGTAAGGAAAAGTGATACCATTGAAAAAATCCAAAGAAACAAATTCAGGTTGAAATTCAATCATAAATTCAACTTGAGTTTTTTTGTGTGTGTAAAAATAGAATGTTGACATTGAAATATTATCATCCATATTTTCCAGATTTCATGTCTTTCACCTATCCCCATGTTTATAACCATGCTTGGTCATCCCCATACTGAACTTCTGGGGAAGTGTGTGATTAGCCACTTTGAACAGAAAATCCATCCAGTTTTGTAAACAACTCCTCATAAGGAGTTTGTGGCAGCTCCTGCATTAATGATAGGACTTCTGGTTTTGAACTTTTATGTGTAATTCTGCTTTGTTTGGTAATACTTAACTAGGGACGATTCCTGATAAAAATATTGATATAGCTTTACAGCAAGATTTTCAAGATCTCTTTTAGAATCTCTTTCTACTGTCGTTCAATGAATAGTTCAAGTCTCTTTTAAAGGCTTTTATATCAATGTTCTAATTAATTAATCTAAAACTCATTTAAAATGAGTTTTAAAATATTAAATACTGGATGTAAGTTGCTTTTGAAATCAAGTAGGTTTTGTTAATGTGATTTCAATGTGTTTTGTATAAACAGTAAGTTTCATTTAATAATTATGAATGTATCACAGAGGAGTAAGACATTTGATACTTTTTTTTATAAGACTTAACATGCTGCCCCAATACATGTGGATTCCTAGCATCTGAATCTGATGCACATCCTGGGAGTAAGGACTGGCATGTGCCACATGTCAGCCCTGGCTGGGTCATGGCTCTGGGGTGGACGTGCTCACATCTGATTGAGCATTTCTTTACCCCTTCTTTTCCAACAGCAGAGCCTCAAGTGGGAGGACCAAGCAGAAGGGGAACATCCTTCTCCCTGGCTTCTGTGGGGGACACTTGCTCCTGTTCAAGATTCCCCATGAGGCTGTCACCTTAGAGGGGTTTGCAGGCGGTGCTCTCAGTGTGTCTGTCATGTTGAGATCCCAGCTTCAGGGTGAGGAGGTAATGCTGTCCTGGAGATGCGTGTGGGCAGTATCACTGGGGGGCAAATCATTTCAAGGTGATGAGAATTATGTCTTCTCCATGTTAGATCAGGTAGGCTTTATAAAGTTTGTGAAGTTCTGCTTTTTTTTTTTTTCCATTCTAGACCCTACAGTGACCTTACTGTTGGCTGATTCCAGAGAGCCAACTCATTATTCTGAATTGAAATTTCTCCATCTCCAAAATCAGAGGTAAAGATCAAAGTATCTTGAGACAGTGGGTTGGAATGTACCATGGTTATTATGATTATACTGCTCGCTGTTAATATCAGAAGGGAAGATAATCTGTTCTTACATTCAGAAAGAATTAAATGCCATGAAACTAGTGGAATGGTAACAATAGCCTGAGGAATGCTGGTGAAATACCAACATGACATGGCTTGAGTTAGAAGTATTACATTTTTGCCACATGTTAGGAACCACTAACTCTGGTGGCTACTGTAACTTATTAAGAATTGTATGGGAATCTGTTTTCAATATCTGTTATTTAAAAATATCTTGGATTGTAACACTGGAAAAGAAAAAGAATATGTATTTCCTGAAATCTGCCTCAATGCCATTTTTTCACTGTCCAATTTCTGCTGTTCTGTTTTTTTTTTTAATTTTTTCTTTCTTTTTTCTCTTTTTTTTTTTTTTAATATAGTGATTTTTATACACAATTTCATCATTTTCCCAAAGAACTGACTGTTATCAGAGGTCACATGCTGAAAATCACCTGTGTAGTTTCACGTGCTTTATTTTATTTTCAAAGAGATTATTAAGCATTTCAAGGAGAAGAATTCATCTTTTTGATTTCTGTTGTACAAAATAGTAAGGAAACTTGAAGTGTTTTCTCTGTGCTTCTGCCATGTCTGTAGATATTTTTTTTTTCATAAGTATTTGAACATTATAGCTGAAAGGATCTGATTAAACATGCTAGAATTTTTACAGTTCCCGTAGCCTCTACTTTAAGTGCATTAAACATTTAAAACTCAGCCTAACTAAACTGGAATGGATGTTTTAAAATAAGGATTATCTTCCATACTGTGAAAAGGAAACCTGTAGAGCTACAAGTGTCATCATGGCCAATTTTCTTTGTAAAGAAGAAACAGCTTTAGCTTATGGACAATATGGTTTCTGCCCTGTGGTCTTGAAAGCTCAGTGAAAAGAACAGGATATCGCTACTGAGTCCAATTTTTAGCTTGGATACAGATTTCTTCTGCAGCTTATTTCTCCCTCATATGTTTTAGCTTACCAGCTATATAAAACCTTTGAGGTGCATGTGCTTGCAAAAATGTTTTAAAGAGGTGAGGTGAAAGTTTAGAAGTTCTTTAAAAGAAGCTTCTGTGAGGTCTCAGACTGCTTCCATATTTATCAGTGAAAGTTTTACCATAGACTTAAGTGGCCAGACTTGGGTTAGAATAAATTTCATTTACATTAGTTACTTTATGTAGGTATTTGTATTTTATGTGTATTATGTAGGTATAAGGCTTTTAGTCTCCCTGAAACCTCATTCAGATTAGAACTTGGTTCTCCTGAACTGTACTAAGAAGGATTCAGGAAATTAATTGATTTGCCTGATTTTTCTCCTTTCGCTGACCTAAGAACATATGTTCTGTCATCCTCTAATCATATTTATAAAACCTGCTCATGCCTCAAATGTCACCATATTTAACTGGTTTGTTCTAAAGGTGGCAAGATCCAGAGTTTCTGAACCTCAAAAAAGCATTGACAGTACTCCCTTTTTTTAAAAAGGGATTCTGGCCTCAAAAGCATCATTGCCCTTAGATGTGATATGGAAGAAGGAGTGAGTCTGTTTATAGGCTGTACATGATTCAGTAGGACTTGAAGATTAATTATCCCATCCTGAGAGCACTTTAAGCCTTCCAGCAAGGTGCTCTGGTCAGAAGGTGAGGAACACCAGGGTGTACAAGCACCCATGTCTGCCAGATTGTCCTAGGACCTGACAGGTTCAGCATCTACATGTGTCTATGTACCAGTGGCTTTCTAAGGTGTGCGTGGGGGTACCTTGTTGCTTTGCAAGACTCAGATGGATAGCTTGTGTGGCCAGAGGTTTGGCCATATGCAGATTGTCCTTAGTTGCTTCCTCAAATTCTGTGCTCAACTTCTCATTGAGCCTGTGCTTCAATCTTCTGGAGCTGGCTGAAACAGATAGGATCTGAATGATAACAGGCAGCAGCACAGGAGCACAAGGTTTCCTGCTGTCCTAGTGCCCATGCAAATATTTCATGCAGGAGTGGCTTCAAAGTGGCTTTTCTCTAGACTGCACATCAGTGCAGCTGTACCTGAAAGTAACATTCCATCAGAGAGCAGGCTTGTCTGTCTACCTCTATCAAAGCCTGCAGTTACATGTTCCATGTAGACATTTAGGTATGTGGCATCTACAGCATCCTCCAGTTATGATCCCGTGGGAGAGACAAATCTAAATGCAAAAACAGGTATCCCAGCAAGTCCAAACTTTTCTCAAAGTCAGGTGGTGTCTAGTGGATCTTTAAAACCGGAGCAATATTGCAGGGTGGTTTGTATATAGTAGTAATGCTTAGCAGCAAGTTGTTGAGTAGAGAGATGGAGTCACAATAAGAAAACCTGCAAGTACAATATTCTAATTTGGGAAATTTTATCCTCATTGTCAGGAAAACAATTCTCCTAGATGGACTTGATAGCATGAAAGCACTGTAATTTTAGTAACTTTATTTTGGACATCAGAATTTCAAAACCTTAATTTTTGTGAGGTGATGTCATGTGATGTGAGGTGTTGGAACAACTGTGTATGAAGAGTTTGGTCTTCGTGGCTTCACAGAATTACTCATACTTCCTTTATTTAAAAAAACAACCACATTTCTCACATCTTAAAAGTGACAGTCCTACAGTGAAAAGAGGAACAAAGTGTTCTTTGAACACGTTGCTCCCAATGCACATGCAGAGGTTAAAACTTAGAGAAAATGGCATAGTGGCTAAAAGCTACCTGGAAAAGGTCAGCTCTGAGGCAACTGAGTTTTCTATTCAGTGGTCATAACACTCCTACTCTAAAACAACTTATTTAATTGTTACTACAAGGGATGAATGGCCGGATGAATCAGTTCTTTTATAATTGGAATTTCCGAGTTACTTTTCATGGTTGGAACTGAACTACAGAAATGGTCAAAAACATTTGAATGGTCTTGGCACGTTTGGTACTGTGTTACTACTGACAAAATGTAAACAATTACATGGTAACTAGAAAGATGCATGCCAGGTTAGTAGTATGAGAATGCCTTGGCAAATTAGACTAATGACTAGTTCTGGTACAGCTCCCACTAGTCACATGAGCATGTTTGATGGGAATGTGATGTGTCCAGAAGCTTGAGCAAACACGTTCTGAACCAAGTGCTCTCATCCCATTAACAGAAAAGACTCCCAGAGTCACACTATCCTGATCCACCTTTCTGTGTGTTCATGCATCCTGTTTTCTGACCCATGAAGCTGCAATAACCAGCCCCTTGCTGGTTCAAAGACAGGATAAGCATGTATTTAGAGGAATTTGCAGAAGCTATCAAGTGCTCAATACTTTTGATTTAATGATCACTTTGTGAAAATCCAATTCAGGGCTAAGTCTGCTGAAGAATTTCTGTATTATAATGCACCCAGTAGAATTTATCCAGAAAAGAATGTACTATACTGTGCCAAGGACCATGCCTGGGTACCTTAGGAGGGAATATACAAAACTCTGCACATACCAAGGAAGAAACTGTGGGTGAGTAGGAATTGTTTGGAGGAAAGGTAGGACTTAGCTCACTTTACCATTTTTTGCATTCAGGTTGCAGTTCAGCCTCCTTTATCTCGAGGTCCTTGGTCATGAACTGAGTGTGGCAGCTTGGTGCTGCATGGCTAACAGTCTGCTGTAGTTTTCCAACATAAAACCAGCTTCCCAAAGCACTTTAGCACATTTTGGACCCCAGTATCAGCTCCTAAAAGTACCTCCTCTTCCAAAAGGGCAATTCATAGCCTACCATCCTTTTCTCAAAGTTGTCTTTGTTCTCTTTGAAATAAATCTCTCCTTTCTTGTCTTAAGTGTCTTGGAGTGGTTACAAAGACACCAGCCTCCCAATTCAGTGACATTACTGATTCTGATGTACTGTGTAATTTCTTTGCTTTCTAGCGTCAGTCTCTCCTGTTGTCTCAACAATCAGCATTATTCTTTTTTTCAGCTCTGCAAACCCTTACATTTTCTAGAATGATGAAAGGTCCACATAATCGTCTAGTATAACAATTTATGCAACATAATCCATGGGAATATACATAATGAGAAGGGAAAACTTTAGTCTTCTTTATGGTCTTTTATGGTTATGTGCTGAAGTACTGTAACTGGTTTTAGATACTTGTTTTAAAAAGTTGTCTAAATCTTGAGCTATGTAAGGAAATTGATGGTAGGCTTGCAAAATCAGGCCCACGGTATGATGTTGAGATTAATTCAATCATGTTAATTCCAGGAAGTTTAAAGTGACCTCTTATTGTCTGCAATAGAGAGTAAATGAAAAAGAGATGATATTTGATTATTCTCATTCGTTAAGAAAGCAAGCAAGTAACAAGGAGTGGCTTGAAGCATTGTGAGGAAAAAATTAGAATTATATATCAGGGAAATGTTTATAAACATAAGAACTCATAGCCAAGGAAACCAGCTGCCAAAAGAAGCTTTGGAATCAGCACTGGTGAAGATATTCAGGGCTCAGGTAGACATCCATCTATCAAAAAAGGATAAAGAAATCAGTCCAGCCACAATATAGGGATAATACAAGAGAGTTTCCTGCCAAATTTCTACCCCAAATAGTGTATGATTTAGTTGGAATGGAAAAGGAAAGCACTTTGGCTTGCTAGATCTTTCACTGATATAATCGTAAAAGTGCAAATTATTCTGCCTTTTAAAAAAATATTGATAGGAACTTTAAAAAAAAAATACTTTATCATAACTGTAGTGTGTAGATTTTGCTCTAGTTTGACACAGTGACTCTAGCTTAGAATTTTTTTTTTTAATTTAAAAAAATGTATCTTTAGAATAAAAAAAAATCTCTTAAAATGAAAAATTGTTTCACGTCTTTTTTCACGGTTTTCCAGATGTAGTCAGATTACTCATACCAAGCCTAAGGAGAAACTGTCAGTAAGGTATTTATTTTTTGCAGGTTCAATTAGAGGTATGAAGGCTGGTAAGACTGGAG